GCTTGTGCCCCTGCACCCTCTCAACAGAGTGTCTTCATGGCTCTAGGAAACATGTGGGCTGTTTTCAGAGAAAAGTGACGGAAGAAAACTTGAACTGGCTACACAACAAGGAGATGACAACCTAATGAAACAAGAGCCCCGGACGTGTGTGTCCTCGGTCTTGGTTAATCCCCCATGATGTTCCCAGGTAGCTCTGATCCCAATGTGGCACTGGGTCAGGTGAAGGTTCAAGTTGAACCCCATCATGTGGGGACAGTGGTCACAGAGTCACATGCAGATATCAGGTTTCCAATAACAAGATTTTCATAACCTAAACTTTATTATTCCTAAATCATTTCCAACATCTTCCCCACACACACCTGATCATGACTGAGGTTATTTTATGTCCCAAGGCATGAAACTGGATCCACAATAGAGTCTAGAGAATAAACACCACAAAGGAGGCTGTGCAGCTTCTACACATCCAGCACCAAACTGCCCTGAAGGAATAGGAACCCAGAGCTCTGTCTGTGTCTCTCTAGTTCATCCTTCTGGTTCCCAGGGACCCTCACAGACACTCCCCTTTCCCCAACACTTGGTCCATTGGCTCTAGGCTCACTCTCTGGTCTTAGTTTATCCTCTGATTACTTTGTAAGAGAAACCGTGTCAGATGGGACTTCTGGTCTCTAGAACATGAACCTCATGCAACAAATGAGGACTTTAAGTGCTGAAGGAAAATTGAGTAATCATCAAGGTTGAATTCTAAACTAACTAAAAATTTATTTCAAAACTGAAAGAAGCCATGCTTGTGTGGCAAGTGCTTGAGCTTTGACCTATGATTCCATTCCTGGTCAGGGCACATACTTGGGTTGTGGGCTTGATTCCCAGTCGTGACCATACAGGAGGCAGCCGATCAATAATTCTCTTTCATCATTAATATTTCTATCTGTCTCTCCCTCTCCCTTCCTCTCTGAAATGTATAAAATATATATTAAAACAAATAAATAACAAGGTTGTGGGTTTGATTCTATGTCTTGGCAGATATGGGAGGCAAATGAAAAATATGTTCCCCACCATTAATGTTCCTCCCTTTCTCACCACATTTCCCTGCTCAATATTTCTATATTAAATCTCTCTCTCTCACTCTCTCTCTCTCCTTTATACATTTCTCTAAAAATCAATGAAAATATGCTCAAGTAAGGATAAAGTAAACAATCTCTATAGCTATAATTATATCTATATCTACAAATACATCTATAGTTAAGCTATACATATATCTAAATCAATATCTAAATCCATATCTATATCTATA